AATGCATGGAAACTCATAACTTTGAGGAATTCTCGGGCTTTCTTAATTAGGAACTTGGCAAGTAAAACCTTAACTCCACTTCTAGTTTCCCAATTGGCTTCAATGTCTGAGCGCTTAAGATGTAGAGCTGATGCAATGTCTTCGTACTTAGGAACCTTTTCTAAACCGGTGAATGGCATTTGGTCAAGAATAGGTATCCCAAGTAGCTTAGAGAACTCTTCCAAGGTAGGAACCAACTGGTAATCTGGAAATGTAAAGCAATGGTGTTTTGGATCAAAGAACTGGAACAGGACATGCATCATATCTTCTTCAAAACCGGAGGTAACCAAATCAAGTAGATAACCATGTCTTTTGATGAACTGAGCATGATCGGGAATTTCTGAAACCAATTCTTTGAGCTGAGAAGGGATACTCATGAAGTTGATTCGGATAGTCTTCCTAGAAGTCATAATTCCCTACAAAACAGAGCAAAGATAAATCCCTAGGTCCTTGAAATAGTTAGATATGATATGCAATGCAGATGATGTCATGATGTCATGTTTGGCACACACAAACAAATCACACAATGAGCCTAGGTTTAAGGCTTGCATGAGGTCTAGGTGATTACCCCACCAAAAGTTTGAGTTGGTTCATCCTGTCCTATAATAGTAACCGGGTTCTAGGAATCTCACATCATCGATCTTTCTCGTAGGCGCTTATTTCAATACGACGGCCAAGTGGTCGATCGAAAATGTCCCAAAAGTCTGATCTCAATGAGCGTAGCATCGAGTATCAACCAACCTCGGTCTACACCAAAGCCGGCCATCTCACTACCTTCTAATGGCCAAGATGGGTCAATTAAGGTTCTACAAGTTTAGTTAGCGCTTGATGACACCACGCAGAAGCCAAATACTATCTTCAACTTGGGAATGAAGAGTATCGGGACAACCAAAGTGTCACGCTAACGTAGCCATCATGTTGACCGTTTTGATATACGTCTAACGGTCGCGACGATTTATTGCTACTTACCTAAAAGGAAACCCGGATCCGGGTGTAGGATCCCCAACAGTATAATACCCAAGCAACCCTTAAAGATAAAGCATACAAGTCAAACAGAAAGCAGTAAAGGTGATTTAGAAATCCTTAAGGCATTCTCTCTTTAAGGGTGTTTCCCCAGCAGAGTCGCCAGTTCTGTAATACGGTGAACTGACTTTTTAGGATTTTTTTGTATCCAAATATGCGGATAGCAAGAGTCGCCACCGACTTTTATTTTTATCCAATTAAGGGAAGGTAAAAGTAACAGAAAAAGACCTTCGTTAGATTCTGAGTACGGGAGAATGTTATGAAAAGGGAAGGTATTAGCACCCCTTTCCATCCGTAGTTATCTACGGGCTCTTAGTTGCTCTCTAAATCACTTTAAAATTGTGCTTTCTGTGTGTTTGAAAAGATTGTTTGAAAGAGGCATTTCGCTTTGACTTTGTAATGATTCATGTAGGAATGTATACAAAGTGTTCGGAAATGTTTCGTTTTTGAAAGAAGACTTTGTAATGATTCACGTTGGAATGTATACAAAGCGTTTTGAAAAGTTTTGAAAGCGTGAAGTGTGAAAAATGTTTTGATAGAGCAAGCAACTAAAAGTCTTTAAATTACCTACTCAGAATTGGTCGTTTTCATGTTTATTTACGTTCCTTTAGAATAGCGCTAGCCATATCATTAGTTGATAGGTAGCTCCATTCGTTGGATGTAAACGGGACAATCGAAGGGACATCGGATGGTCATAGAAAGCAACTTGTAGGGAGTATCCTAGCACATTCGAAGGGACTATCATCATTTTTCGTAGGCAACAATCGAGGGTCAAGATCATGTATTCGGAGGCGACATCGTGGGTCTATGATCTTTGTATCGAAGGGACTATGATGATTTGTTTGGAAAGCAACGGTGCTAGAATACCTCTACGTTCGAGGGACATGACCATTTGTATTCGTAAAGGCAACAAGAGAGAATTACCCTAAGGGGTGCGTGTGTGAAAGGAGTGTGTCGAATTCAGATATTTTATCTTGGAATTATGAGTGAGCTATGTTCAATTTTATCTTGCCATACACGCCTAATTACTAGCAGTTTATAGGGTGCGGAAAGTAAAATGCGGAATGTAAAGGCAGAAATGTAAAGGTGCGGAAAGTAAACCTACGCTATTACATGGCTTTGGGGCAGATACATAATTAGGAGTGCGGAAAGTAAAAGTCCTAAATTAAAACTATTACAACCCATATGCAATTACATTATTGTAAAATAAAATAGTAAAAGAAAACGTCCGAATCGGAGCAACCTGTAAAGGAATGTGAAAACGGAAAATACGATATGAATTGAATAAGAGGAAAAATGTTAGAAAAATGCAAATTTTTATATGAGAAAATTAATACATGCTGGAAATAATATAAACATGCTAAAATAATTTTTTGGGATTTTTTAGATGCAATTTAGTAATTAAAATGCAATTAAAAGTGAATTAAATGCAAAATTATAAATAAAATTAAATATGCATGCAAAAATATATTTTTTTAATTTATTAAATTAAATAAACATTTTTGTGAAAATAATGTAAAAAGAAAAAATGTTTTTGGTAATTTTTTAATGCAGAATAAAATATGGAAAAGAAATTAAAATAATGCAAAAATATTAAATTATATGAAAATAAGAAAATATGAAAAGTTTGAAGTTTTGAGAAAAGAAGTAAAAGGATTGTCTGAATCAGGAATCGAACTGGGGACATTCCTCTCAAACTTTGAAAAACCACATGCTGACCAACTGAGCTAGCGTGTTGCACTGTTTGGAAACGGATTGGTTTGAAAATAACACGCGTCCTCTTTCCCT